AGATACGGGGTCGGCGGCGGCTGCTTTGCTTCAGTTCGCGTCTCCTGGGAATCTAGATTTCCGAGAGTGCTCTGTGAGTGACTGCATTATGATAATTTCTTGTTGGGAACGGAGACAAGTTTTCTTTGCTGACGGGCTCTCGACATTTCCATCTCCGGCAGTCACGATGTCATCCACCTTTTAGAAGTACGGAAGATTTCTGACGGTATTCTTCGGAACGGTGTCTCCACCACAACGGATGGAAGTTCGGGAGACGGAACGCCGAGACTTTCAGTGTACTGTGCTATCTACTCTACAAGGTCCTCGATTGCGAGGGAGTTCGATCGCGCACATCAGTCGGAATCTCTTATTCCGCTCCTGTGTGTTCCCTCTCCAGCCATAATTGTCCCGCTCGGGAGATCCTCTTCGCTCGCGAGCATCTCGCAGCTGTAGAATTAATCCTCAGCTCGATGGTTTGTGACATCGAGAGAAAGCCCCGTCGATCTCGGAGATAATGATTGGTGTCTCTAGCTAACAGCACCGCTGCTTCAGGAGAATGAATTTCGTATCGTCGTTTGCTGTGGCGGCGGGAGGTGTGTCAGGCCAACCTTTTTCGTGTACACCATTCCGCTCTTGAAGAAGAGCACAGAGCATTATGCTTAGGATGAGTAGAAAACAACTCCCTCGGACCGATTTGTCCCAGGTCGCTCGGCTCCATGCGACTTGCGCGACTTGAAACGGATTGCTACTCCGTAGAATTGGTCAGGGATCGAGATTCTTGGATAGCCTCCGCTGTTCCGCGTAAGAACTGACCGTCAGCGATTGAACATCCCCTCCATGGGCTGTGGATTCCGTTGTCCGCGTAAGCGTGATGTACCTCTCGTTCCCGTCGATCGGCCCCCGATATTAGGAATAATTCCCTTGAACTTGCATCTCGATTAGGTGGGTCGTTCGCTTCCGCTCGGAGGTTTTGAACTAATTCGTGAACTGACACCCAGTCTCATATGCTGCCTCGTCGCCCGCTCGTCCGCTCGGTAGCCTCACTGTGTGCCGCCGCGACCATGATGGATACTGGCGGTGTCGATGGATCGCTGGAGTCTGACTGTACATTGGTTTTGTGCGGCAGTCAAGCGCACGGAACAACCTGGAGCCAGGTTGACACCTCTTTGTAATTTACATGACAGGGGGCGGGATGCACATTTCGATGACTGGAGTTTCACGAAGCTCGACGAACCCCGATGCCGACTTTTCTTCAGCGAATCTGGCGCGGGACAACGATTCGAGTACCGTCTGCAGCTCGTACCGAGATCTCCATTGTGGATGACGGCTTAATATGGGATGATGTCGTCCCACTTATCCACACCTTGCGGTTTCCCCAGGCCCGTAATTCAGTTTCGCAAGGAATCAGAGTCGATGGAGCTAGGAGATCAGCCGAATCGAATTAGAGACCACGTCGACCTTTGTTCTCAAGTTCAGCCGCTTTCGAGGTTGGATTTTGATTAGTCGCTACCGTTTCTCTAGGAAGTCTGGATCGAATTCGCGAAGGATTCGGTTTCCGGAGGATTGATCGAAACAGAGGATTCTTCGGATTCTCCCTCTCAGGCGGATCTCTTCTCCTGGTGGAGAGCTAGCGAGATGGTGTCCGCTTACCTGCCAGAATACGAGAATCATTACGAGAGGGGAGAATGAGGAATCCATTAATCAGTCGCGAAGAACGCAGCGTTTTTCTCAGTTCTATCGTTAATAGAGTGATTTATTTATTGAAACGAACCCCGGTCGGTTACTCGCGAACCGACTTCACGCCTCACCAACACAACAACAAAACAATCGAGGCGGAGTCGACGGACATGTTGCAACTTTACGAGAGAGCTCTGAATTGCTATCGTCGCCGTCGTTGAAGAATACGAGACGCTGACATCCGATAGGCCTGAATGCCTTTTCACTTGGTTTGCTCTGGCCAGACGTTTCGTTGAGGTGACAAATCACACATGCATTGAGCTCAATGTGGGACACCGGTGTTCTCAACTTTATAGACCAATCATTCGACAAGTCAAAGAGACAGCTCGGGAACGAAAACGGAGAAATCATGTTCTTTCGACCTTGGAGCTGACTTTTGGATCGCTGTATGCGATAACCCATGCGATAATCTCTTCCGGAAAGGAGTGGGGCTGACGTGCGAGCTGAGGCTTCCGTGCCGAGAAGCTTCGCGTGATTCGTTCCGTTTGTGGGGAAGTTTGCTTCTTCTCATGCGAAGCTTTCTTCTCCTGAGTTCGAATGTGATCGGAGTGGATCGATGTTCGGAGTCGCCTCGCATTGTGCTCGGAATCCAGATGTTTGAACTTTCTTTCACCATGGCTACACGTTCAGCTGTAACCAATTTGTCGGCACAACACCTACGATTCTCGGTCCGATGCAGAGCAACGACTTCTAAGATAGCTCACGAGATTTCACCGGAGCGTCGATAACCTTGCGTCTCCGTGTCATTGCCGGGAAGCGAGCTACCTGGAAAATGTTTCATCGCGTGGAGAGCGTCTTGCATCATCGGATCTGTCCACACAGAAATCCTCCTGGAATCTATCCTGCAGACAGGGGGGGAGGCAATGGTATACTCTGCCCCGGGCGGAGCATTCTCGACGAGCGGCATTTTCGAAGCTCTGCTTTTAATCGAGCATAACTTAACCACCGAAATCGATTTAGACCAAGTTTTCGATGATTTCGCTCGCAGATCTGAAAAAAAATTGATGAGGAATGGTAGTACATGTGGATAAATGGATGAAGCGAGGGTTTGTGGTTGGGAAGTCGATGAGTGGGAGTCCCTTTGAGCATCCTTTCCGCGTCAGAGCAAGACTTCCGTGGGGCTTATCCTCAATCGAATTGAGATACGGGAAAATTGGTAGGATGAACAATCTTAGAACGACGCTCATGAGAAAGTCTTGCGTCTTCTGCGTGTGAAAGATCATATCAGAAATAATGATGCTCGAAAAAAAGACAGAGGTAGGCGCAATGAAATCCGACTGCTGCCCCCAGCGGCAGTCGGAACCCCCGGCCGGCTGCAGGCCACTAGTAGCCCGGCCGCTCCTCCCTCAGTAGGCCTATCCTCGCACAGGCGGTGTCTCAGAAGTCTCCAAGGATGCTGAAATAACCTTCCGCTTCTTTCGGAGCTCGGGCTTCCGCACCTCGACAACCCGATGTGGTTTCTACTCAGGGTGAATAACAGGGAACGAATCCAAACAATTAGCGGTTGTTGCTTGCAGTGCCGAGACTCGAAAACAAAAAATGCTCCTGATTTACATATTCTGCGTTAACCGCGGTTCATCCTTCAGGAGACCCGTTGGGCGACATTCGATAGCTCCGTTGCTGCCGAGGAATCAAACGGAGAATGAAACGATGCAAGCTGCTGAGTCCATCTAGTAGTGAACGAAAAATCACTATCGATATTCTATTCAAGAAGGCAGAAAACAGAATGAGTGTTGTCCATTCCACTTCTCGAGATTCGAGAAGCCGTTCGTGCCAGCAGGAAGGCCCAGCCAAAGTCAAAGGACTATCACAAGGATTCCGAGACATCCGTCTCTTTGTCAGAAGCATCGTCCGCTCGGAGGTGTCATCATATCTCCATTTGGTTCTTATCTCTCTATCGACTGTAATCCATGATTTGGGACGGTTGTGTTAGCGACCCATCGATCTACGCATGTGAACGATATGAGCAGATCATCAAAGGGGTGAATACATTAGCGATTGATCTCGTGTGTCGTGGGAGATCTGTGTGACGTTTGTCATGCCTCATGTCGCTCTGCTCTTAACTCGAGACAACGACATCAACAAAACAAGTCGCCGTGCTGACATCAGCTCTCTGATGGCACCGTCAGCGCATCATGCGGCCACATCCCGAGTCTCGTCAGTGTCATCAAGAGGCTAAATGATATAATCAGCATTATTCGCGGAACGATTGAAGAAGTAATCAATGAGCTTCGGAGATCCGGTCAAGGTCCCCTGAGGACCGAATGTTGCCTGGAACATCGTCGAATTCATGCTCCAGATGAAATAAAGAGGACGTCGATAATATAATCTGCTGACTACCATCGGGGGAAGACTCCGTCAGTGATCTTTGATGGCAATCAGGAGGATGCGGGGAGAATTCTCGATAAAGAATTCGGCGATTCCGGAAGCTGGCCTTGCAAAGCTAGTCGGAGAACAAGGGAAAGGTTTGGATTCCGATAGCCTTAGTCCGATCGCGATTCTCGAGCGGCGGCGCATACGCGCCAAAGAGCAAACAGATGCAGACTTCTGTCAGCCGCGATCCGCGATGCGGTCAATAACTGCCTTTCCTTCACAATTAGTTCCGTGACGCTTGCATGAGGCAAAAACTCGCTTCGGGACACATGAAAGCGGAACAAGCTAGTCTCAAAACTCAGCTCACTGCTGCCACGACTGGAACACAAAACATCGTTCGGGGAGTCGAGCATCGCCGATGCCGACGATACTGCTAGCATCGCCACTACATATACGCTGACAGTGTGGAGAATCCCTCTTTTGTAAATAGACTTCGAATAAAGGCAGTTGAGGACAAATAAAAACTCGAGCAATTCGATACAGGTTCCGAGAGACTAGGTTGACTTTCGGCTCGCTCGGGACGCCATCGACTAGCGATGTGGGGTAGCACACCACCGAGCTCAGTCTGTGTCGCGGTGGAGTCTGGGAAAACTGAAGCGGTGTGCATGCGTCCCACAGCTGCGTAGAGTTTCTTCCGATCGAGGAGGGCATCTTTCTTTCCCGACGATATCCTGGGTTGGGATGCTCAACACTCCGAGATCAGAAGAGATGCGGGACTTGAGCGAAAATCCTTACAACTGGATAACTGAATGATGCTCGTAGTTGACCATGATATTCGCTTGCGCGACGACTCCATCCGCGGCCGCCACCGGCGCGCTGCCGGAACCCCTTCCCTACGCCGGCGCCGCTCCGGGAGACTCCCGCTTACTCAGCAGACGACGTCCACGGTGTAAATAAACAAGTGCACATGCCAGAGTTTCAGGAACGCGAGGCGAGTTTCGTAACCTGCTGGAGGGTTGAGAAGACACGATTGAATCATCAGAGGAGTCTTTCCCCCCTGGAACCCGAAATGGTACTGCTCAACCCCTTCAGGGAGGAAAAAGTGCCCAGTTCGTTTCCAGCCGGACCCACAGATTCGAGTTCTCCGAAAGTCGCACTAAGAGTGAACGCGCAGTACCCGTCGACTCACCCTTGCAACAAGTTGCGCACAGTGGAACATGGTAGCGCGAGCATCAGGGGTCACTCCCGCGGTAGAGGTCGAGGCAGAGGCCGTGGTCGTGGAAGACCTGTAGCGGACACGGTGGAAACGAAGGTCGAAGCGGAATTCTCATGTGAAGCCTGCGACAGAGTGTTCTTCAAGCGGAACGATTATGAAGAGCATCTTTCGCTGCACGTCCGGTGTCCCCATTGTAGATTTTCCTCCCTACAGCAGTTGGTGAGTCGAGTTTTCCCCGCGATCGGAGCAGACGGCGCGATTCCTCGCGCGGCGACTAAGAGGACATAACTAAGAGGCACGCTTCGAGCGCCAGTGATCTCTATGAATCATGCTCGATTAAAGAAGAGAATTATTCGATGACTCAATCGCCTCGCAGGTAGACCTTCACGTGAAACTCGTGCACGATAAGCAGTTGGCATCCAAAGTTCTCGAGCAGAGTCCGGAAGAGATCGCGGAATACCTCGCGGAGAGACGAAGGAAGTTTCCTCGCCGCAAAGACCAGGATGAGGCGACAACATCGGAGAAGAAAGGTGTTATTCATGAAGGAAACGTCAGAGGGAACCGCGATAGAGGCCGATTCGATCGACGCCCCAAAACGTGAGTGATTCGAGCTGTGGTCCGATCGGCATCTAGAAACGCTCGAGGAACGATTTGAGCACTACGAGAAGTACGCTTCCAGGTCCGGCGATGATGCCGCTAGAACGTGTCAGAAGAACCGTCAGAGGAAGAGACGTCGCGCGAAGTCAACACAGAACGCAAACGGAGACCAGTCGACAGAGAGCCGGGCAAGTCAACAGAGCTGCGGAGTCCCGCGGTTCAGTGGGATGCCGATTAGGTCTCAAAGGGGGGCCAATGAGCTGAACTCACAGGACAGCATATCAGATAACGATGAGGTGCAGGCGTCAGAGACTTGCCAGAACAAGTCGGTTTTGGACAGTAGCGCATTGGGTGCGCTCATGCAGTACGGCTCCGAATCAGAGGATGAAATACCGCCGAAAGTTGCGAGGAATGACAACATCGCTGCGAAGGTAGCGATCGCTGTGTCTGTTGCGAATAATAGCCGAGAGAGTGACGACCGATTGGCTGAATGTGCCGAAATCGAGTCGACAGTGAAGAGAACCGTGAACTCCCTAGTCGACCGCGTCCATGCGAAGATCTCGAATGAAGAACGGAAACAGAATTCACGGCAAAAGCAGCTACAGTCTCAGACTGTCAGCCGACGAAAACTTTCGCTTCTTGAAAAGCTGCTGGCGAAAGATATCCGACATGAGCGGAATATACTCCTACAATGTGTCGACTATGTCATTCAGATGAATTTCTTCGACGGGCAGAGCTTCGAGGTCTAGAACTCCCCGAGAATCAGCCCGTTCGGATGCATTTCCGCTTATCGGAGGCCTCGCCCTGTTCTCGATGAGTACTGTGAGGGAGATAATAAAACAACTGTATATATTTACATATGTATGTATATTTTTGAGCAGATATCACGGAGGTTCTTTCTTGGTGGAGTTCCTTCTCGGAGGCGTAGATAACGTGAGCTCTTGCGTTCTGTGCATGAGCTCCGTCGGCTATCGCGAGAGACCAGAGCCTGAGTGAGTTTTAGAGGCTTTCGGGTATTATGTCATCAAGACCCCGTCTCTCTTGCCATCGTTCGCTCACTCGCTCGATCTCTCTTTGATTTCACTGCAAATCCGGAAATAGTTCTCGCTAAACATCCGCCGAGCGCGGTGCGCGATCTTTTGAACTTTGTCAGTCGTTGTAGTTGCAGACGAGGGCGGATGCTCCGACGATCTGAAGGAGACTCACTTCCTGTCGCGTGACCTCTGCAACTCGGGCGCAAGCCGTGCGCAGTCGGCTGACGATTGAAAACGCTGAGAAAGCGGATCTGTCAAAGCCGAGGTGTCGACTAAGGCGACATCGACGACGACGACGTCGGCGACTACGAACACAAAGGGGGAAGGAACGAGGAGAAGGAAGAAAAGAATGACAACTCGGGAGAGGGACCAAAAAGGAAACCGAACGATCGAGAGCGAGAGACAGGATCTAAGGGAGATGGAAGACGACGAGCATGAGGAGCGAAGACGACTTTCGAAGGCGAATAAGAGAAGGGGAGCGGCCGGGTTGGTGTAAAAGAGACTCAGCTTCTGTTTGAATAGGAAGAGATGGATGGCAAACGAAAACCACGGTAGCTGCCGCTGTGGTGCAACGAGGAGTGATCGATGTCACGAGAGCGGACGGAGGAGAGGATCAGAATGAAGGGCCAGCACAAAAGATACGAGATTAAAAGTTGCCGCTTGGTTAAAGAAGCGATCTCCGCTCTCGGCGCGTGAGCCAATACGGAGGAAGAATCTCACTGTCATCCTCACGCTCTCCACAGATCGACTGTTGACATCTTAGATAAGCGCCCTTTTCCGCGAGTCTCAACATCTCCCAGGCTGCTCTTAATTTAATAGTTGGCCTATATATCCTGATCGCCACATCGTCGGACAGCTTCGACGACGACAGAGATCACCCGTGCGTTTTGCTAGTTCAGCGAGATTTTCGATTGAAAGCGAGAATGGGGTTTCTCCACGAGGAGCAGCGGCAACAGGAACTTACGGCGCGAATGTTTGCTTCGAGCTAGGTACGGCGGACCAGAACAGGCTGTGAGCCCTATTGTGCTCAAATAGACTCGAAGAAAGAAATCTGTGAAAACTATTAGTAATTCTCACCTCGTGATGGGGGGTCCCTCGTGCGCCATTCGCTCGTTGTTCGTTCCAGTACAATGCAGCCATAATGCAGTGCGCGGCCTGCCGAGCTGTGTCCTTTTCTCCGTGAGAGTGTTTCTCTACGCAGAGATGTGTGAAGAAGTCGGGGATGCACATCGAAAACACGCTTCCTTTCTCCGGGGGTCCACGGAATCTCGGTTGTCTAAAATAATTATTATTCATTTCCCCGGCGATCGAGGAGGTGCGGCTAATTAAATCTGTCATCACTTGGATCCTGCTCGGAGAGACAGACGAGTTGATCGAGACCGATCTAGCTCGGAATCTATATCGGAGGTAGTAAAGTGTGACTCTGCGCCTTGTTTGCTGATCGCTCGAAAGCTAGTGAATACCATGTGTTGGACATCGGTGATTGTTGGCGCAACAAACCGAATCAGCAGCGGCGGTCGAGATTCGGATTGTTGCGGATTAGTATTGAGCGCGCCCGGTGAATCGCCAATCCTATTCGTTTAAAATGCATCATTCCGCACGCAACAGTCACAAGCAAAACGGAGTGCGGCAGGAAATTCAAAAAGACCAGACATATCGACGACGGCACACGATGTATTCAAGCTGGCTATCGGCAAACCACAAATCCCATGGATCAGCGAGATCCAATTCCGATCGGCAATTTTGTTTGAAGAAATTTCGGATGGATTCGACAGCTTCCATGGATTACCCAAGAAGGGATCTGTAGCCGATTCCGCCAGAGGCAGATAGAAACCGTATGCTCGATGCATTTACGATTCTCGGCTGAAGGCATAGAACGACAGGTCTCCGTACGGCCAGGAAAGTGGATATTGGTCGAACTCCTAACGAGTTTAGGGCTCGTGGGATCATTTTCGCTAGGCTTCATAGATACTCGAGCAGAGAAAATGCCGAAACGCCTCTGCCTTCCGTCGAGCTATGGACCCCTTACCGGAGCACCGAGGACTTTTTCTTGTAGTCGATCACAGGATAGCTCAATGACTACCCAATGTTCACTCAAGGATAGCGTGAACCATTGCGGTGGAACAATAAAGGGAATCCAAGACAAACCCTCTTTTATATTCCGGATCCAAGAGGTAGGCGGCCGGACCACTTGAGGCTTATCGGCGATTATTAACAGATCACTTGAGGTCTAAGGAGGATGTGGACACAGGAGTGCGCGGTGAACAACTAGCTGGACTCAGGGGGAAAAGACGACCGTCCGAACTGCTTGGTGGCTTGCTCGGTCAGATGAACTGGTAGAGGACAACAGGAAATGAATCCGGATGCGGTTTTCTTGAACATAGTCTCTTTCCGTACTTCAGCACTCACAGAAAAGCATAAGGCGGAAATGAGATGGTGGCTAATGTTGGTCCGAGAGTAAACAAATGTCTGCGGACACGGCATTAGCGGCAAACATAGGAAGGGGAGGCCGTCCGGAAATCAATGATTGTTGCTGCCACCGACGCCGCAGTGATGATCTAGTTGTCACCTTCGCTTGAACGGATCTTCGTCAGGATGCACATACAGATGGGAGCGGCACGAGGGGAAACAGTTGCAGAGAGGGAGATGGTGGGTACATTGCGTTGGGAAATTTCACATTTCTACCTGCGAAGAAGAGGAGAATAATGACTGAGAGGGGGAATAAACAATACGCGGATCTCCCGGGTGCAGTTTTGGTCGAATTCGTTGCCTTCTGAAAGCTCTATGGCTGATTTCTGACTGGGCCCGGTCGCTTTGAGTGCGGCTTGCTAGCCATTGCCCCCCTCGGGATAAGCTCAGCTAAGCGCAGTGATAAGGCTTTATATGAGAGAGCGAGGTGTATTATGCAAATACGCCGGCGCCGTTCGCCTGCCTGCCCGCTAGCTAGCCGCTGCTGTCCCCGTCTAGGGGCAACGAGCCCCGGCTCGTGGAGGAATCATGAGCGCAGCCTAGCGGCTGACAGACTGGCTGGCTGGCTGGGAGACGAACGAGAATTTGCATTACGCACCCTTGTGAAAGAGCTGCCGGGTGGAGGCAACACGAGAGCAGCGAGAAGGAGGTTTTTAATCCGGGCGCGAACTTCACCAGCTACTTTCAAACCCATGTGCTGTTGGCTTCATCGATGGTCAGAGCTGCGAACGGACAGAAAGGATAGCCGAGGCTGTTCCCCATGAGAGAGAAACGGGGCATATTTACCGCACGTCGATGAATGATTAGCCCTGGAAACATCGATATCTATGGGACTTGAGATCCAATTGAGGCTCGAACAGCGCTCGGAGACACTCCGGTCCAGCTCGGAAGCGCCCAAGCACGGTGAGGTTTCAATTTCAGACGAGAGTTTTAGTTGTCCAAATCTTGTCGATCGATCAAAGTAAGGCTTCCAGTTGCGCGTGAAGATGACAGTTGCGCTGGCATAGTGGATTCGCGCGCAGACCGTATCACCGGGTAGGTCGAGGGCGTGTTTGAGGGATTAACCGCTCTTCAGGGTAACGCGATATTGCTGGATCAGTCAGACGATGACAACTCGTCGCAAAGACATCATGTCTTGTGCCATCCTGATGACCCGGATCTAAGCCTATCGGTCACAGCCATGCCTTCGAATCAAAAACAGAGCTACCAGTTCCCCATAAAAATGTTCGTTCTGAGAGTGCACGTATCGCAAAGTTAACACGGAAAAGTTCCAGATCGGTCGATTCGAACCACGAGCAAGACCGGCGCCGCGCGCCGGCTTCGTCTGGTCTGGCTGGACACTTGCACTGGGGAAAGGTCGTTGGAACCTCTCGAGTAAGTCAGGTCACACAAGTCCGAGATTGGTTTCGATCGTTCTCTTGACGTGGAGAGTTCGCTGATCTTTTGAAGACCCTCGCTTGCCTAGGCATGGTTCCGAGATCGAGATGAGTCGAGAGAGGAGCATCCGTCGAACCGACAGTCAATCGCAACGTTAGGGGAACATTAGGAGCCCCGAAAACCGCCTATCAATCTTTTTTGTGTGTAGGTGCTGCAGATGCGAGTAGAGAGTTTCCTCCGGTGTCACCCAAACTCGAGCATACTATCTGTTCCGTTTGGATCAAGGGGTAGGCGTATATCAATCCCACCCTCATTTGGGTTCGCCCACCCATTTAATAACATCTGCCTTTGTGGGGATAGCTTGTTGTGGGTCCGAAGCTCTGCATAGTCTGCCGGTTCCCTTCTTGTCATCTAACTCCTTCGGACAATGGTCGTCCCCACCGAGTAGCCCGACCACATGTGTTGACCACCTCTGAGGAAGCCCACTATTATTGGTAAACTGACCATTCGCCTCTCTTCCGAGGTGTCGGCTCAATGAAGACCGCTGCTCAATAGAGAGGAGGGGGCTCTCAGGTGACGAGCTCATCATCAGATCGTTAGGGAGGACGATTCCGGATCTCTTCCCGTAATCTGTGCGTCCGGGCGCAGTTCGCTGTACGGACTGGCGAGACTCTCTTCCTGAACGAATATGATCCGATGATGCATTTTCTTCGGGGCAGATTTTCCCCGTTTTCCTGCCGGATGAAAGGAATCGTTGTGCAGTTTTGAGACGATTGGGACACCGTGGAATGAATTTTCCTATTTGAGCCGGTCGGGATGATCGAGCGCAAATCGGCAGGAGCTGTCGCCAGTGGACTTTTCTTGAAACTGAGGAAAAACATTCCCTACGAAAAATCACTAAGCAGCCGATAGACAATTTCGTTTCCTTATCTGCGGTGAA